TTTGTCCCAATTAGGAGAAAATAAAACGATTCCAAGATCCCAAAAATCAAAAAGTGATTAAGCATGATTTGGCTTGTCTTAACACTTAATATTTTAAGGTAAGCAATCCAATTGCTAATAGCTCTAAGCTACTCTTGGTTCGATAAGAACGTTGCATCTAATGCTTTCTTGACGTTTTATCTCCATTGCCACGACATCTAATGACTCCTTACTGATATTGTTGAGTCTAACCAAAAACTAACGTGTATGCGATGCCTTGCTTTGGGAAGCACATCAGCATACCTTACTTCCCTAGGAAAGTAGTAATGATGTACTTTGGCACAACCCATTACTATTCTCATTAGTTCCGTAAGTGTCATTTTGGAATGGCAGATTTAACTCAATTTTCTTTGGGACTTAGGGTTTCTATGTTGGTTAATTTAAGTGAACTAAACTAATCATCACAACATTCGAAATCCTAAACATGCAAAATATATAGAGTATAATATATAGAGCATAATTAAAGATGCATTTGGCAACTAGCATGACCCCTTGATCTTGAGTCTTCGAATCTTCAAAGGCCTTCGTCTTGGCTCGTCTTCTTATAAACGCCGTCTTCGAGACATCACCATCAATTATGCAACTACTAATAAGACTAGGACTAATCTAAATATTAAGGTACAAAAATACTAAACGGCACGCAGTCTGTACTTAGATTTACAAAAATACAAAACGGATCACAATCCGTATTTACTATCCTAGTCAGGTCCCACTAGTTGCCATTTTGTAAAACTTGAATTAGAATATTTATTCCATTCATCCATTCACTAACGTAAATGGCCCATGCATGTTACAAATTAAAACAAGCAATAAAGAAAAACACGCGCAAACTAGTAACTAACTTAGGTGGTTAATTCAATTAACACACCTAATTAAAAACTAGTCAAAGTTGTTAACCGATTATGTGATTAAACGCAAAAAAATAGCTCAAATAACAATGAAGCTCCCACTAAATTCCGCATCCAACTTAATTAAAATTAATCCAATTAATTTAATTAAGCTGATTTACCCAAATTTTGCCCAAATTATTTTGTAAGTGCCGGGAAAAACCAAAGCCTAGCCTCGTTTTAATAATTAAATAAATAATTAAAAACGGCAAAAATCACATAACCCTATGATGCTCGAGTGCCCAACACCAAGCAACAAGGCTTGGTTTGCTAGGCACCGAGCCATGGCTGCCTTACGTGGCTGCTGCCCCTCGCACATCCACTTTCTGCGCCAAGCACCTGCATGCGGCTGACAGTATCGCACCAAGTGCGTTATGCTGGCCGCACCAGCATGCTTGCAACGCCAGCAAGTGAGGGCCTCAAAGGCTTGCTACTATGCGAGCTCGTGCCGGCCGCAGCCGCACATCGCAGCCCATGCATCGCACCAATGCCGCACCAAGCGCACCAATGCTCGCACACACACACACTCACGTACACATAGATGCACCTGTCCCGCACTCCTTGGCAGCCACATGCGGGCTGCGCAAGCAGTCCAGCTTGCCGAGAGATGTGCTTGGGGCTTTGTGCCTCAATTTGCGTGCTTGTGCCTCGGGATTATATCCCAATTTTTTGTGTGATATAAAATTAATTATAAATTATTTTTAGAACCAATATTAAGCAAAAACGAAAATAAAATAAGTCCAACTTAAATAAATTCAATTTTTAGTGCACAAACCAAAATTAATTCAAGAATCATTCTTTAAATTATTTTTGGCTCAACTTGATGTTACAAAAGTTGAGGGCTATTCTCACAATTAATTTAACCAAACATAAATTAATAATGATATTTGACAAAATAATAGGAGTTGGAAAAATAAACACAATCATCCAATGAAAATTTTTCCAACACTAACTTGTGTAAACTTGAAAAATTACATCCTTCCAATATGAAGAGTAATCAAATTTCAATCACAAGTTTGAACTTTTAAGACTTTAATCAACTTATAAATGATTAAAATCAAAATTAGTTCAACATGGAATTTAGAAAGTTAAGTTCCAACCAAATAAACAGTTAAAGATTGGATCTTTAACATTTTAGGGGCTTCAAAAATACAAATTCACCGTAAACATTCACACTTGAAGCAATTAATTTGCAAAAATGTGAATTGAAATTGCAAGTTTATGTGAAAAATGAACTCACCAAATTAAGCACCAAATATGACTTCATAATATGCTTAATAAGGGTTATTATTGCAGTAGATTGATGGTGTATCCATACACATAATCTAACATTAACATGCCATAATTAATCAAGGTTTAAAAATTTAAAATTTTTTCGTCAAAAACGATAAACCCCTCGAAAAACATGTTTTTTGGTGGATTTTGGCTTCTGGAGCTTCTACAAAGTGGTTCAAAAACAATTTGGAACATCGATTCCACCCAAAACTCACTAGTTTTGGGTCGAAATCTGGGTTCTTTAGCCAAAATTAGTATAAATACAAGATTAAACTAATTAAAAAAAACCGAGCTTCTAATACATTTAGAAAGCAAAACTAGAAATTTAAATCCATTTAAATCACCTTTATTAATTATAAGTTACAATAATTAAATGCACGCGACTCCGATACCGTTGTTGGGTTTCGTGATGTCCAACACCACGCGGAAGGAAACCCGCCCAAAATCCGCACACAAATTAAAGTAACTAAGCATGTATTAAAACCTTAATCACGTTATTAACAAGAAGAGAGAGAAAGAATCATTATCCTTGAAGCGTGCTTCGCTCTTACTTAGAGCTCGGACTTGAAAGCGTAGAGTCCCGCAAATGCACGAACCTCCAACGGCTAACACCCTCGCTACCGAACCGAGCAGGCCCTTACCCCGAAGCTTAGTCGGGGCTAGACCAAAATAACTTAGAGTTATTAGAACAAAGGTTTTCCATTCTTGGAGATCCCTTAAAGTTCACTAACTCAAGTGAAAATCTCAATACCCCATGATGAGTATTTATAGAGAAATCTCCTCAAGAATTCTCATCATCTTTCAATGTGGGATAGTTGGTAAAGTGAGTAAAACATGAATTAATTTAATTTTAAATTAAATTAAAAGTTATGAAACAATAATCAAATGACAAGTGTCATCACATAAAGAGGAAGTAGGTAAGGACAACAAACCCATCCTTGGAGGGCAAGCATAAACCCACCAACCCCATGTGCATGGCATACTTGGTCAATGCAAGGAAGACCGACCTCAACCCTTGGGCTCCAAGGCACGCCCAAATGGCGGCCTTTCCCTTGGCTGAGTTGCTACCATGCTGCAATTTTAGCACGATATATTATTTGATTATTTTTCTCGTCTTCGTCGATTCCTAAATCGACTCGACGCTCGACGCCGGTTTCGGCGCTCTAAGCTCTTAATCCGACGTCTTTGTTCGTAAAACTCTATTGACTCATTTAATCCTTCGGATTAATTCGTTGTTTTAGTTTGGTTACACGATTGGGTGTGACCCGAAGGGTTCAGTCAAGATTAAGCTGTAATATTAATTATTCATTAATATTACTGATCGAAAGCGGCCTCCAGCTAGGCATTCCGATCACTTGACCTCACTGAATAATTAGCTTTATATTTAATTTCAAACCCTCTATCGGAATAATACACTTGTTCAAAGGACACCGTTCCTTATAGTAACGGTCAAGCCGAAGCAGCAAAAAAGCAGATTCTCAACGCACTCAAGAAGAGGGTTGAGGATCAAAAATCCAAGTGGATAGAGGAACTCCCAAGAACCCTCTAGTCACTTCGAACAACCGAAAAAGAGGCCACAAGACATTCGCCATTTGAGCTGGTGTATGTATCCGAAGTCGTCCTTCCAGTGGAAATTAGCGCAAAAAGTCTACGGGTGCACCACTTCTCAGACGAAGAAAATGAACAACTCATGAAATAATCCCTCGATTTTCTAGATAAGGTCAGATATTCGGCCCGAGACAGAATGACTGCATACAAACAAAGAATCAGCAAGTTCTACAGCCGAAGGGTCAATGCAAGACAACTCAAGATTGGGGACTTGGTTCTTCGGAGTTCTGCAGCAGTGCAAAAAAGCCGCATTCATGGGAAGCTCTCAGCCACTTAGGAGGGACTGTTACGAATTTCGCGAGTCTACCAAAAATAAACCTAACTAAAACCTCCTAAAATATAGTAAGGTAATCTAGGTTCGATCCTAAAGAGAATTGGATTATCAAATTATTACTGGTATAAGTTAGAAACCCCTGTTTTGAATAAGGAAAATATAATCTAAAAATAAAATACTAACTAGAAAACAAATAAAGTGCGGAGAAATAAACTAATAAAAATGGGGATACAATAAAAATCAAGAATAATAAAGTACGGAATCGGGAGACGTATTATCGCATTGGAGTATCAATTGACCATCGAATTATATATAATCATGACTATATCTTAATGCTAACCAATGAACACAAACAAGCATTCGAAACTTCCCTTAATTGCAAATAGACCAAACAAGCTCTTGGAATATTGTCTTACCAAATAATAATCTAGAACAGGCTCTCTAGACTCGATTAATTAGTAGCATTAATAACAAGGGAGTAGTTAACTTAAGCCACAAATCTCACAAACTCGGACTCGTGCAACTCAAAGGGTTGATAATCTTAGGCGTTATTAACAAGTTTTAGTCACCTATTAAGCACCTACTTACTACTAATGGGAATTAACAAGGACAATTACGAATCACAAGTTAATACTCTAGTCGTCAAACTAGCAAATTACACCAAAGATGGCCAATCTCAAATATAATCAACTAGTTCGTAATATTTAAACGGATTATCAAACCAATTAAGAAATAAACATAATACCCAAGAATTACAACATATCTATTCTCACAATCCAATAATCCAATACATAACTTACCTCCCTACTCCAGTAATAATTTAGCCTGACATAACAAAAATTGAGGTAACTATAATAGAAAACATACAAATCATAATCAAACTAATTAACAAAGCAAATAAATGAAATTTAAGCAAATAGCCGAATTAAATTAATATAGCAAATTGCATAAGAGCTAGTACTGACGCATTCATGAGCAAAATAACAAAGTGAAAGCACTAACTTTCATTTTTATTCTCCAAAGCAAAACTTATACTACTACTATTCTAAGATAAACTAAGGCTGAAATCGAATGAAAAGAAAATGAAAACATAAATACAGTACCAAATCTTCTAGTAAGAATCAGAGTAAACATAAGCTGAATCGAGTTGCCTCGACTAGTCCATCTTGCTTATCCCCTGCTAGATACTTCGCCAAATTCAGATGAAGTTCATCAATTTTACCCCTCTGAACCTCGCCCAGAAAATTCCCCAAAATATAACTATGATAATCCCCTAACAGAAAGATAAGAAGCATTTTATTCATCTCAGCTACTCTGAGTATTTCGCTCCCATCCTCAGCCGATTCCATCTCTATCTTTTCTTGCTTGACAATTTGATTTCCCACAAAAATCGCTCAAGGGTTTATTTGTACCTTACTCGCAAGAACAGTGACTGAAACTCTTTGGTGTACCTCAAGGCCCACGTGGTTATTTGTAGTCAAACATCATTGGGCTTAAAATATGTGACTTACTTCAGTCTTGTGAGCTATGCTTCTTTTGATCCGAGCAGTGGTCAAATGCATTTTGCTACCATAATCTTCTTTCCTACAAACAAATAAATAAAAACAGTAGTATCTCGTGTCCAAGAAAGAAAATACTTATAATACTCTTAAAGTATCAAATTTCGATATAAAATCATGAGTTTAAAATATATAAATAATATACTTTAACGATCCTATCAAACTCCCCCAAGCTTATAATTTTGCTTGTCTTCAAGCAAAGACATGAAGTTACAAAGGAGCTAGACTCTTGATATAACAATATGCAACCTGACATGTTACAATTACTCCACTTAGCTCAATAACAGCTTCAAGTCAAGTACATATGCAGATCGAAGGAAAATCATTTTTATGAGTTTGTAAAGCCAAATTCCAACTCTTAAAACAATCACAGCCTAGTTTCAATCAACAAGGTGGCAGAATAACTCAGAAGATCATTAGGACTTAAATTAAGGATGTGATGGGCCTACGGTAGAGTGAGGTTCAGGTAGTATTTAAGAGTGGTGATAAAGATTTTAAGACTAGTAGAGCAAAGTATTCAACACCACAAACAAAATATGATATCTTATCTTATCTCATCAGTATTGAATCTCCATGATTTATTTATTTAATTTTTTTTTTAAAGTGTTTCATGACTCTTAATGTCATATATAACCCATGTAGCGAGCTTTCAACCAGTGGCTCCCGGTCCAATTGGCCCAAGGTACTAGGTTTTAAGCTACCCCTACGGATTTACTAACTCGAGTTACTCAATCAAGATACATAAATATCACACGTACATATTGGGCTCAACTGAATTTTTCTTCTCTTTTTTTCACTTTTTTTTATTTTATTTGTTTATTTTTTTAAGAGCCCTTAGCTTACATTGGTACGTAGAGCCTTCAATATGAAACTATTTGAATAAAAACAACACCACCAGCTCAAATTATAACAACAATAATCCACTTCACAGTGCATATGCTCTACTAATCTCAAAGAATGGTGAATTTCATTTTTCACACAATGACTCATAAGGGTAATCAGAAAAATAGGCTGATCAGATTGGGTTTTGACAAATCGTGTTATTGGTAAGCTTTTAGGCTTATGTGATGCAAATACCTTAATGCCTAAATCATTTATTTCTTATTACAATACCACAACATTGACTTCCACCAGGTTAGCAACTATTTAAAGAATAATTTTTTTCAAATTATTTTTTTTCTGCATACATACAAGTCTATAAGCCAAATTTAAGCATTGGAGAATGGATATTGAATCATATATGCAAAGCACTGTCCAAAAACAAACTACCAGAGTCAATACCATACCAAGAAATAGAACTGAATGCACTCCCCCTAAGCTTAATTCATACATTGCCCTCAATGTGTGACTGTGAAAGAATATAGGACAAAGATGAATAAAGGAGATATATAGAACAGAAAAGGAAACAAGCTCACTGGATGAAGTTAGCTAACTGTGAACACTGACTGTGTATTTCCCCGTTGGCATCCACCAAGCTTGGACCTGCTCATAATTTCTTGCTGCAAACACTTTCAGATATAGGCCAGTGTTGTTTTAGCTCAGCTTTGACTCCACCAGCAGTTGGTCAGTTGGTTGTGTTCCAGCCAATCTTATTGTCCTACAACAACTGACACCAAATCAAAGCAGAATTAATTTCTAGAATATAAAGGGCTTAAAAATAAGAGCAGATGAAATTTCTGAGCTGATTTTTTTTTATTTATTATTTTTTTAACAAAATATAAAATTGAAAATAAAATGACGAGAAAAAAAATTGAAAATAAACTATCAGAAAATAGTCTTAAACTTGGGTTGCCTCCCAAGAGCGTTGTATTTATCCTCATTAGCTCGACGCCTTTCCAGCATACTAGTCTTCACGATTTGGAGCTTCTAGCTCCATCACTTCAATGTTTTGGACCTGATAACCCTCATAGTACGACTTGAGTCAATGACCATTCACCTTGAACTCCTTCCCCGTGTCCTCACTACGAATCTCCACCGCACCATGGTCATACACCTTGGTAACAACAAACGTCCCCACCCATCGAGAACGAAGTTTACCAAGAAAGAGTTTGAGCCGAGAATGGTGCAAGAGAACTTTTTGCCCCACTGTAAATGTATTTCGTGTGATGCACTCATCATGGAATGCCTTAGTCTTCTCCTTATAAATTCTTGCATTCTCAAAAGCATCATTCCGAATTTCCTCTAATTCTTGCAACTGAAGTTTCCTTTGCTCACCTGCTGCATCCATCTCCATATTGCATTGCTTCACGACCCAAAAGGCTTTGTGTTCTAATTCTACCGGAAGGTGATAAGGTTTGCCGAAAACAAGCCTATATGGAGACATCCCAATTGGCGTCTTATACGTTGTTCTGTACGCCCACAAAGCATCGTTGAGGCGGAGGCTCCAATCTTTTCTATTTGGATTCACAGTTTTCTCGAGAATGGACTTGATTTCCCGATTTGAAACCACTGCCTGTCCATTTGTTTGTGGGTGATACGCAGTGGACACTCGATGAAACACATTATACTTCTTTAAGAGAGCTCCTACTGTTTTGTTGCATAAGTGTGTCCCCTTGTTATTGATGATAGCTCTTGGGAGTTCGTATCTAGCAAAAATATTTAATTTCAAAAATTCTACAAAAACTTTAGAATCATCGGTACGGGTGCTATAGCTTCCATCCATTTCGAAACATAATCTACAGCTAGCAAAATATATTGAAAACCAGAGGAAGATGGAAAGGGTCCCATGAAATCCATACCCCAAACGTCGAAATTTCACAAAACAAAATAGGGGTTTGGGGCATTTCATTCCTAGGACCTAATGTACCTGTCCTTTGACATTTGTCACAAGCCTTACAAATTTCATATGCATCTTTGAAATTGATGGTCAGTAGAAACCACTCTCTAAAACCTTGCGTGCGGTCCTCTTAGGTCCGAAATGTCCTCCACAAGCATAAGAATGGCAGAAAGTTAGTATAGAAATAAATTCAGAATCAGGTACTGTAGGGAATATTTCAAACATCAACTTTGAGCTCCACTGTGATCATGCATTAAAGCATGGTGGCGCCCAAAGGGGAAGAAGCTAGAGATAAAAGAGTCGCCAACAAGTTTTAGGAACTTGTAAACCGTTCACGGGTGTGAAGGTTACACCCCATCCATGATCACGTAGATCTCTAACTCCATAGTGGTTCGGAACCATGACTGGATATTCGGGGATGATGGTACGAATATAACCTAAAAGAGATTGAACTAGCCCTAAATCGGCCTCTACTTAATTCTTATGATATTTATGTACGCTTTCCAATTAACATACATACAACAAGTTAGCCCTAAACCTGTTTAATCTACGTTGGTTGATTATTAATGCACAAATAAATCTATTATTGGCGATCACTTGAATTAAAATCATATTAAACCTAAAATCAAATTATAAATTATCTTATTAGGAGTGATTTCAAGTAAAAATTCCCTTTAAACCTGCAGAAAGAGGGTGTGCTCAAGCAATAACAATGAATAATGAATAACCAAGCAATGTATAATTGACACAACAATCTTCATCATAATCAATATAATCATAATCTCATCAATAGTATAATTAGTAAGATCCTAGGCATGATACTAAACGGATTAATAACAAATCCTAGCATGTCACTAAATAAAAATCAAAGCTTTAGCCTAAACATGATATTAGAAAGCATGATAACATCCTAAGCATGATTTCTATATTAAAAGCGAGAAAAAAGGATAGTAGTGTAACACCCCCAAATCTTCCTCTACGGAAATACCAGTATAATACGAATAATTATATCTAGAGATAGATTTAGGCGTATTACTGCCGCGTAATTACGCAAGGCTACCAAAACTACTAACCAAAACAAATACTTTGCAGCGAAAACTCAAATTCTTTATTAATAATAGCTATAAATAGAAATCATTGTCATGAGTACTCATAAATAAACAAAGACCAACATTCCTAATATAGGTGAAGAACATCCTGGACTCCCATTATATGCTCAAATATTGACTACACCTGAAAATAGTCAACACTGCTTACCATTAAGGTAAACAGAACAAACCAAAACAAATAGGAAATACGGATTAGCAAAATATGCTAAGTACAATAAGTGCAAGATAAGTAAATTCAAATTATTTGCAAACATGCTTTTAAAACCAATTCCAATGTTAATCCAATAAATTCCAAACTCAAAATTTCAAAACCAATTCCAATAATATAATTCCAAAACTCATGATTCAAAACCAATTCCAATAATTCAATAATTTGATAAAACGATTTATAAAACCAATTCCTCTTTTAAAAACCAATTCCTCACCCAAGTGTGCACACCCCCTAAGCTAGTCTCCTACTATTTCATGGAAATTCTTGAGGAAAGACTCAATCATACAAAGTCCAAAGTCTTATCTACCAAATCCGCATAGTGGGATTACTATCAACATGCTTGTAAAGCTTTAATAATAATAATTTAATAAATCATTTTCCAATTTCAAAATTCCAACAAAATTCAAAACTCCTTTTATTTGTGTTCAAAATCAAACCTTTTCAAAACATGATAATAATTTTATTCAAAACATGATATAAAATCAATTCTCCAATTTATTTATAAAAACCATTTTTTTAACACATGCTTTATTGCATAAATCATAATTTAATTCAATCATCATAAAAATCATGTAAAACATTCTTATTCAATCCAATCAATTTCAAAGGTATCTAGCCACCTAAACGTACCTTGATTCCGAATATCAATCAACACTTCGCACTTTCAAAGTTTAATCACGAATACACCTTGCAATTAACATAACCATAAGGTTATCACAACATCTTTAGACATAAACCCAAATCTAATGTGCATGGACTATAAAACTCTTTTAAAAATAATACTTTAATATAAAATAATAGCTTTGAAATAGGTATTTATATTTTAGAAAACTAACCATGAAGAAACTAAAGGAATAGGATTTAAGAGAATTAGATTTGCGTTGGAAGAATAGGTAGAACTTGCAGAGGCCATAACTCCTTCAATATAGCTCTGAATTGGGTGATTCTTGAGCCTAACCTCAAGGATGTTTTGAGAGGAACATTTTTTTGTGAAATATTAAAACCCCAAAACTGACCAAAAGTTCACGAAAATTGGCTCCAAAGATATACGGGCTGATTTTCTTTTAGAAAAGAGGAGGAGAAAAGTAGAAAAAGGTTGAGGGAAATGAAGAGTAAGAGAGAAGAAGAGAAATGAGTTTTTGGTTTGAAGAATATGAGAGGTATGAGGGGATATTTATAGGCTGACTCATGCAAGAATTATGGTAGGAGAATGTAGGAAGAATCATGGTAAATTGGTTTAAGGAAATTACTTGGAGAAGAGAGCTATAGAATTATGGAAAGTCTAGGTTATGGTGATTAAGTATTGAAGAAATAAGGTAAGTATGTAGTCATGAAATATTAAATGGTAAATGGCTTTGCATGGGGAATAATCAAGAATGATTTAAGGTAGGAGAGTAAGATGATCAAATATTTAAGAGATGGAAAATAAGAATTAAGGAAAATAATAGAATTGAGGAAGATAATTAAAATACAAAAATTACCAAAATAATTTTGCTCAAAATACAATATAGTGGCCGAAAATTTGAGCTTTCCTAAGCTCATATTTTCGAACCTCCCTTAAATATTTTGGGCAATTATTTTGCTAGTTTTTCAGGAATAAAAATGATTGTGTAAATAATATATTTTGTATAAAATAATTAATTAGAAAAATACCAATTATTCACTAATTAATTTAACTAAGAAAATCAGATTTTCAACACTTAGAAAATCCGAAAATCCTAGCTAATTAATTAGGGAAATTTAGCCCTTTTAAATTAAATAAGAGAATATAAATTTTGCTTGATTAAAATATCCAAATTATATATAAATAATCCGGTTGTTAAAATAAATTAAATGGATTATAAATCT